CATATATCACAAATACGAGTGATAATAATCTAGGTCATACATCACAAGAACGGTAATATTTGTTGTTGTTTATTGTTGTTTTCCCAAGCAATACAAAGGAAACTGAGCGACATCTTTTGTTATTGAATTATTTCGAAAGTAAAAGCAAAGAAAATTTATTAATTAATATTATTTTTGTTATGTAACTCGAATAGAAATATTTCATGGAAATTATTCTATTCGAGAGTTACATAACAAAAGATAAATTATGGATTGACAATCAGCTGTTTATGATTTCTCAATATTTAATTTTAATCGTGAATATTTCAAGCTGTAAATGAAAATTTGTTCTTGGAATATTAATGGTCTTCGCTCATTGCGACAGCCATTACGAACTGTACTTGAACAACTTGATTGTGATATTATATGTTTTCAAGAAACAAAAGTTACTCGTAAGTTTTTCTCTATTAAAATAAAATCACCCTGGATGTTCTTATGAAACTAAATATGTTTGTCTTCTTTTCTATAATTTTCATTCAAAAACTTCGATGATACCAAAAAAAATTTATTTAATATATTTAGGTCAAGCTCTAGCTGAAGCATATGCTCGAATAGATGGTTATCATTCATTTTATAGCTGGTCTCGACTTCGAGAAGGATATTCTGGTGTTTCTATAATTTGTAAAACATCTCTAGCACCAATTCGAGCGGAAGAAGGTTTGTTTTTAGAGAATTGAATTTTTAGAATTTAGTTTTTTGATTTCAATATGTTGCTAGTTTTTAGGTCTCGTAGGAAAATTACACACAAATCTTGAGGATGGTTTAGGTGGTGAATATTTATCATTGGAAGAGAATGATCTTTTAGCAATTGATAGAGAAGGTCGTGCGATAATGACTGAACATGAACTTGAGTGAGTAATGAATAGAAAAGATTTGAATTATTTTTTTATTTGTTATTATCAATAGAGATGGAACAAGTCTTGTTGTAATTAATGTCTATTGTCCTCGTGTTGATAGAGATAAACCTGAACGATTAACTTATAAACTTAATTTTTATTCTGCACTTGAACAACGTGCTCGATGTTTTTTAGAACGTGGATGGTACGTATGTGCACCATTATTTTCTTCTAATATAGACAAATTATATTCTCTTTTTTTTCTTAGTCGAGTTATTATCGTTGGTGATTTTAATGTTTCTCATAAACCTATTGATACATGTGATCCAGGAGACGATCTTAATGTAAATTTAAAATAAAAATTTTAATATACAATCTGATTTTCTTATTTTTTTATTCAAGTATTTTAATTCCAGTCCATCACGTTTATGGTTTTCGAAATTAATATCTGAAGATATTTTTATAGATACATTTCGTTATTTACATCCAGATCAACGCGAAGCATATACATGTTGGGAAACAGTATCCAATGCTCGTGTAAATAATTATGGTGTACGAATTGATTATATTATATGTGATGGTGCTGTATCAAAATCCCATCTTGTAAATTGTGAACGTCGACCTGATGTTGAATCAAGTGATCACTGTCCAGTTATTGCTGAATTTAATTTTACATTTAAAGATCGTTCGCAAGCAAAACCACCATCGATTTGCACAAAATTTTGGTCAGAATTTAAAGGTACTCAGATGAATATAAATCAATTTATTGTTAAAACTAAACGAATACGCGAAGACGATATTGATAGTCAAGATGACAAGTAAGAAATCAATGATAAATTTGAGTTTTCATAGATCGAATTTGATCTTCTTTTTTTAGAAAGCAACAAATAGAGGAAATAACAACAACGAATAAACAAGTAAGTGAACTCATTGTAGTATTTCTGGAGATAAATGAACATTTTTTAGACAAATCAATTAAATGAAATTATCGTAGAAAAATCAGTTACTACACAATCTAAATCACTTACAAAACCTTCATTTAAAAAAGTCAAATCAGATCAATCATCACTTTTACAACATTTTAAACGAAGTTCTCAATCAAAAATGGCTCCACTACCTTCCTCGTCGAATGATTCAATTCCCAAAGTATATTTTTGATTTTCTAATAAATTTTATAACATACCTTTGCTTCTCTACAAGGAACCTGAAGTTATTACTTTATTAAACACTGAAACTGATGAAAAACCAAAGAAATCAGTTACATCATGGAATCAAATCTTTCGCCCACCAACTCCACCACCATTATGTTCTGGCCATAAAGAACGATGTGTTATACGTCAAGTTAAAGATACTGCATCTGTAAATTGGGGACGATATTTCTATGTATGTTCACGTGCAAATGGAGCTTCAGACAATCCTCAAGCACGATGTGAACATTTTCAATGGAAAGAAATAAAGAAAAAAACAACGTCTACAAATTAAATTGTTTCTATTCTTTTTCTTGTTGTATATATATTTTATTTTGGAATGTTATGAAAGAAATACAATTCAGATAAATAAAAGAAAAAGTTTATTCGACTTTAACACCTTTCCAAAATGCAATATAACCTTTGATATTATTGGCTTTTTCCTTTGTATCTGGATAATACCAAGCTGCATCTTTATTTTCTTTACCATCGACAGTTATTGTATAATAGGATGCTACACCTTTCCAACCACATGTTGTATGAGTTTTAGTTTCAGTAAAAAACTCTTTTTTGATTGAATCAGGTGGAAAATAATGATTATCTTCTACAACAATTGTTTTGTCACTTTCAGCAAGAACTTGTCCATTCCATGTAGCTTTTTTTGTCATGATTTTAATATTGATAAATTATATAATGAGTCGTACTTTATGGTTGAAACGAATGATTATATAATCGACAAAAACAACAAACACGGTTGATGTGTCCTATAGATAGAAAGAAACCATTTGGTTTGCTATTCAATAGGTGTCCTTCTATTTTGACGTATTTATATAAAATACTGAAAAGTTGAATTATTCTTTAGTTTTATGATTAATTGATATACAATATTATAGACGACCTCGACAAAATTTTAATTACTTTTTTGATGAAAGAAAAAAAGTAATTTCTTTTTTGTCAATAATCGATTGATTGTTTTCTTCGGATGATTATTTCATCTATAAACATTATAAATTTCTTGTTTTTGTTTTAAAAAAATAATTTATTGACGTCATGACTTTTGCTCGATGTACTAATGCTTTATAATGAAATAACTACAGAAGATATATACCTACTTACTGATATACGTTTGTGAGCATCCGTATTACGTTACATCCATGATTTTGTTTGTAGAAAAATCAATTTTACTCGTGCATATAATACATTGTTAGTTGATTTTTCCGAGAATGTTTTCAAACATATTTCTTTGGTATCTTGTTTATTAAATATTCTATCAAGAGATGTTTTATTAAAACTCCGAATAAAATCAAATTAAAGTCAAGTCACTTCATTCTTTTTTTCTATCAAGATCGGTAGTACAATTTGTGGAAAATATTTTTACACATTATTAGTATGATATAGTGGTATGAGAAGAATGTTACCAATCGATATCTTCTTTATATGGTTGATCGCTCTGCTGATTACTAATCAGACGACAGGTAATACATTTTTTATTTGAAAGAGAATGATCTTATTAACAGCAACATTTATATACTATCGATTAGAGATCATTCGAGATTCTTAGTCAACAAGTCTGACTATTTTTACTGAATAATAATCCTATTAATTATAGTAATAATAATTTCGTTTTCTTTGTCCCGAGCAACTATATATTCATCAAAACTTGCTAATATATATATTTTTCTGTATTCTTGCAGTTCATATGGACTAGAAGATTTTCGATTGTAATTATTATTCTTATTTATTAGTTTACATAACAGAGTAAATTTAAAAAAAGAATAACTAAATTCTCGTTTCTAGTTTTAGGAATGTACTATAAGTTAAAAAATATTTTGTTTGTATACTTACGGACTTTTTTAATTTCGGGTCCAAAAATACAAATTTTCTTTTTAATTAAGAAGAAAATAACAAAAGTTGTTTGAAAAATATTACTAGAAAAGATATCATTAGTTAATAATTCAGCTTTTCATTTATTTTGGCCATAAAGGATAGACAGTTTTGAAGTATTTATCTAATTATCTATTAATCTAATTGAATTCAAACGAAGATAAATCTTTATTCCATAGGTTTATCATTCAATCAACCCAAATTTTGTGCATCGGCAACTTGGAATCCCAATGCGATAACATTTCTCAATAGTCAAGCAATTGGTATTCAACCTAACGATATATTTGTCAGTATCAACAACACAGTATATGTATCTGAGAATGGTCGCGATCGAGTACAGATATGGTTAGAAGGCAGTAGGAATCCATCGAAAATTATTTCTTATAATTTAATACCTCCACATGGATTATTTGTCTCGGTTACTAATGATATTTATATTGACAATAGTGTGTCAGGTTATGGAGTTGAAAAATGGACAATGACGAGCACAAGTGGTACAAATGTGATGATTACTGATGATATCTGTTTCCATCTCTTCATAGATAAAAATAATACACTTTATTGTTCGTATAGTAATCTTAATCAAGTAGTTAAAACATCGTTAAATAATAACCATCACATGTCAACGAATGTAGCAGGTACTGGAAATGCTGGATCAGCATCGAATATGCTTTCAAGTCCTAATGGAATATTTGTTGATGCTAAGTTTAATTTATACGTGGCAGATAGTGGCAACAATCGAATTCAGTTATTCAAACCCAGTCGTTCAAATGGACAAACTATAGCAGGAAATGGTGCAAATAATACAATTACACTTAATAATCCAAGAGCCGTTATTCTTGATGCTGATGGATATCTGTTCATTTGCGATACATTTAATCATCGCATTGTTGCATCAAGTGCGAATGGTTTTCGATGTATAGTTGGATGCTTAGGTATAGCTGGTAGTGCAGCTAATCAGTTATATAAACCATGGAATATCGGTTTTGATAGTTATGGTAATCTGTTTGTTGCTGATCGCTTCAATAACAGAATTCAGAAGTTTTTGTTAGCAACAAATCCTTGTGGTAAGTTATGTTAGTTAAAAATATAACAACTACATTATTCTATTTATTATTATAGGTATTACATATAATCAACCAAAGTTTTCTTCTTGTGCAACATGGGATACCAACGCTACAACTTTTTCAGATAATAATACAATTGGTATGAAGCCTTACAGTGTATTTGTTAATACGAATAATAGTATTTATGTATCTGGAGTAACTTCCAATCAAGTTTATGTATGGTATAACGGAAGTTCATCTCCAAATAGAAATATATCTCGTGGTTCCAATATTAGTTATAGTATTTTTGTTGGAAACAATGGTGATCTTTATGTTGATAATGGTCTCTACAATGGTCGAGTGGATAAATGGTCATTAAATGCTACAAATAGTAGTATTGCAATGTATGTCAATAAATACTGTCGTGGTATTTTTGTTGATATGGTCAATAATATTTACTGTTCTATTGGTTTTTTAAATAAAGTAATTAAAAAACCATTAAATAATGATGTGAACATAACAACCATTGCTGCTGGTACTGGAAATAATGGATCAGGATCCTATATGCTTAGTGATCCTAGAGGAATTTTTGTTGACATCAAATTTAATTTATATGTAGCAGATTGCGGAAACAATAGAATTCAGTTTTATCGGCCAGGTAATCTAAATGGAACTAGTTTGGCTGGAAGCAAAGTGCCAGGAACAATTACACTTAATTGTCCAACTGATATTATATTAGATGGTGATGGATATTTATTTATTGTTGATAACTACAATTATCGTATTGTTCGATCAGGACTCACTGGTTTTCAGTGTTTATTTGGTTGTACAGGTACAAGTACAAGTACATTTGGTTCGGCTGCTGATCAACTTAATCGTCCTTGTAGTCTCAGTTTCGATAGCGATGGTAATATATATGTTGCTGATACTTATAATAATAGAATCCAAAAATTATTACTAGCAACAAATTCTTGTGGTAAGTATACAAAAGCTTTATAAATAGTAGAAGACGTAGATTTGTAAAATTTAGTCTATCTGATGATTATCAAATATATTCGCCTTCAAACTTTGTTTAACGATAGGATTTTTGATATTTATGAGAGATAGTTTCCTTCAATAATTTCTAATGATGTCTATAATTACATTTCAATATATAAAACGTTGTATTGTATATAATATAATTTAAAGAATTCTATTTGTTATAGATATTTCATATAACCAACCAAAATTCTGTGCATCTGCAGTATGGAATTCTAGTGCTACAAACTTTGCCGATAACAATACAATTGGTTCACATCCTAACAGTATTTTTCTCGATGTCAATAATACTATTTATGTTTCTGCTGGAAGTATTAATCAAACAATAGTATGGCTTGATGGAAATCCTAATTCAACGTGGAATATTTCTGGTAATTTAATATATCCACAAGGTATTTTTGTTACAAATACAAATGATATTTATATTGACAATGGTTATGTCAATGGTCGAGTTGAAAAATGGAAACTAAATGGAACTAACAGTACTACTGTTATGTATGTTAATGCGAGTTGTTATAGTCTTTTTATTGATATTCACGATAATCTTTATTGTTCTCTGAAAAATTCGCATAAAGTTATTAAAAAATCATTACATACGAATGCAAATACATCGGTTACTGTTGCTGGTAATGGAATCAATGGATCAGCATCAAATATGCTTAATATGCCTTGTGGAATATTCATCGATATAGCAGTTAATTTGTATGTAGCAGATTGTGGCAATGATCGGGTACAACTCATGAAATCAGGAGAAATGAATGGAACAGCCATAGCAGGATATGGAGCATCAAATACAATTACACTCAGATGTCCAACTGGAGTTATTCTTGATGGAGATGGATATGTTTTTATTGTTGATAGTTATAATAATCGTATTATTGGATCAGGAGCTAATGGTTTCAGATGTTTAGTTGGTTGTATAAGTGGAAGTAGTTCACTAACGAACACATTAAATAATCCTACAACACTTAGTTTTGATAGTTATGGAAATATTTTTGTTATTGATTTGGGAAACGAACGCATTCAAAAATTCTTTTTCTTAAACGATTCTTGTGGTAAGTTATTTTAAATAACAACTGTGATAACTTTGAATCAATGAATTAAATTTAAGTTCTAGATCAAACAACGGAAACAACGGAAACAACAGCATCAATTACAACTACACCCATAATTCAAGGTATTTTCCGATGATAACAAAATAGTATGAATAACAGAGTTTCCTGTTTTTTTTCAAAATATATTGTTCAATACCTATAATAACATTGATTCCAAATACATTATCTTTATCATCTCCAATACAATTTCGTCGAAATCAAGATTTCTTTATTAGTTCAAATATTCAATTGAAATGTAATATTTCACTTTCAACAATTATGCAATGGACAATCAATAATTGTACTTCATATAATTGTTTAACATCAATTCAAATTGATCGAACAATATCAACAACATTTAGTGAAATTTATATTCCATCAAGAACTTTACCTTATGGTACTTATCGATTTAAATTAACAGTAACTATGACTAGTTCACCTAATCTAACTTCATCAGCTTCAACATATATTAAAATAACACCATCACTTATTACAGCAAATCTTGTTCAATTTGGAACATCAATGATTACACGTGGTTATAAACAAGATTTAATACTTGATCCAGGAACATATTCAATTGATCCTGATGAAAATATATTCAATACAAGTGTAAGTTATATTTCTATATGATACTCATTTTAAAATCTATTATTATATAGAATTGGAATTATGAATATTATTGTCGAATTTATGGTCTTTATAATTTTCCAAATATTTTGGGATTTCTTTTAACTATTGATGATCCGAGAATTGATTCATCTAATCCATCCTGTTTATCAAATCAAACATTAGTACGATATAATGGAACATCACTTTCACCAAATTCATCAATAATAATTTCATCGAATTCACTTTCACCAAATCGAACCTATCAATTTATGGTTATTATGACAAATCGTCGAAATTCTTCAATGCAAGCAACAGGTTATTTACTTGTTCAAATCGATAATAATTATCCACAAATGATTGTTATTGCGTAAATTGTTTCGGTGTATTTTTTTCGATTATGAATTATTTCTTTTTATTTAGTTGTGTGATATCAGAAATGTGTATATCAAATTTAGAATTTCAATTAGTTAATCCAACAACTCAAGTTGCACTTTTTTCTATTTGTCTCGAAAGTTGTTCATCATTGCTTAATATAACCTGGAATATATATCAAGGTTTTAATGCATCGCTATCAACAATTCATTGGACATTATTTAATCAGATGGTACAATATGAGAATATTTGGTTTTTTGGTTCGTATATTGACTTGTCTATGATTTTTATTATTTATTTATTTATTTAGGATATAATACAAGTAATTTTACAGCAACAAATGATTTATTTCTTAACAATCCTCAAGTAACTTTTTGGCGTTTTGAAGTTGTTTATACATTTGCATTAGAAACAAGTTCAAGTGCATTGAATTTTATTATAAATCAACCACCTCGTAATGGTTCTTGTTCCATTGATCCTCGCAATGGTACAACAAGTACTTTATTTACAATAACATGTCCTAATTGGTTTGACGAAGATGGAGTTCAAGATTATTCGATTTATGGTACGAATAATGATCATTAACTTTTCTATAATAATTCATATTTTTCAGGTTATACATCAGATATATCAGAACAAACAATAATTGCATTTAGTTCTATATCAGATTTTCAAGTTTTTTTACCAACTGGAGATGAAAACACATCAATACTTTATATTATAGTTCATATACGTGATACACTTGATTGTGTTACAGAATATAATATGAGTTCAATTATTGTTCAAACAAATTCAATAGATCTTATTGATTTTACTAATATTTTACATAATGACACAGATTCATTAATGAATAATCCATTTATACAATTACTTTCAAGTGGAAATCAAAATATTGTTGGACAAATAATAACATCATTTTCACAAGAATTCAATAAAATAAATAATGAAAATATACAAAATGCTGTATCAAGTAAATAATAATCTAATCAAATATTTTTATTCGAATTAAAATTTTTTATTTTATAGATGGAATTCCATTTACAAGTATTTTTATTTCACCTTTAGGAAATCAAAATTTACAAAGCGTCAGTCTTTAAAGATCTTCTTGTTCTTTTCTACGTTGTATCTATTCATTTAGATAAATACGTCATTAAACACATCAGCTTTAATAGAATATCATAAACAATTGAATGTGTATGCTAATATTCGTGATTATCTAATAACATATCTAACTAACCTTGTAATTACTACATCAAGTAGTATTAAATTACAATCATCAACATTAGTTCAATTGACTCAAGCAACGAATCAATTAACACGAACATCGTCTGTATGTAATTTCATTATTTTTAATTTTCAAAAGATTTCTACTGATATAATTACGTAGATGGTAGCATCAGATAAATGTTATCAATTAGCTAATGCTTTATATTCAATGTCAAACACAATTTCATATGAAGATGTTCAAACTGCTGCTAGTCAAATTACTCAATGTACTACCAATGTTTTAACTGTTCGATTCTATTTTAATATAAAATAATTAAAAATATAATTATTAATATTTTAGGCAGTTAATGGACCATTACAACAACGAACAAGTGTACTTGATTTAGATTTCTCTCGTGCAAATACATTACCACAAGATTATGATACTAATCTTGAAAATGAATGGTCAAATTTAAGTAAGAACCGTTTTGTTATGTTTATTATCTAATCATATTGTTTTTTTTGAAAGATTTATTTTCTAATGGAATGGATTTTTCATGGGAAACAATAGAAAACGGTCGAAATATTTACTACCAAAAACAATTAGCAAATACAATTAATATTCAAGCAACTGAAACAATGACATTATTAACAAATGCATTAAATATTCATATAAATATTGGGCAAAATTTTCTAATAAATACATCATCGGTTTTTATGTCATTAGAAACTATATCTATTGAATCACTTTCAAATAAATCGATTAAACCAATTCAAAATTCTCGTATTTATATTCCATCAAATATTAGATTAAATACAGCAACTAATTCATCAATATCAGTTCGAGTAAGTTTAAAAAATTTATTTATATATTTCTTAAAAAAATGTCATTTTTCCAGTCAATGATACAACCACTTGCTTCAATTGGTAATTCTCAAAATACAAATCTTTCGACATCACTTTCATTCACCATATTGGATCAAAATGGTAATGAAATTTCTATTCCATCTGATAATAAACATATGATTGAATTAATTATACCACGAGATTCAAATTTAATCATACCTCCTATGACTTTACAAAATATAAGTTCATTTAATTCAACACCTCATCGTCAATTATTTAATCTTCATTTTATTGATGTAACATCTATAGTGTCAATTTCAATTCATTTTGAAATGCATCCTTTAGATACAAATCTAGCTTATTTATTAATCTATAAATTTGATAGTTCACCTCAATTAAATAGTACAATGAAACAAATTGATGGTTGGTCTTTACTTTGTCCTTCAAGTAAATAAGCATTCATTCATTTATTTAATATCTATATATATTCAATAATTATTAAATTTAGATTTAACTGTTGATGATATTTATCTCTATTTTATTGATAACAATCATACAATTGATCATCAATCAATAGTATTTGGTTTACGAGAATTAAATTCAACAGATTATTGTTTAAATCAATCTATTTCAGATCCACCCATTTCAAATGAACCATTTCATTTTACAGCAGATTATGAATTACGTATCTATACATCAGGTTGTTATTATTTAGATACTGATAATACTTGGCAATCTAATGGATTATTAGTAAGTTTTTTTTGAACTTCTTCTCTTATAAAGTAAAGATCAACATATATATTTATTAAAGGTTGGCTCATTAACAAATCATTATCAAACACAATGTTTTTCAACACATTTAACAACATTTGCTGGTGGTTTTATTGTTTTACCATCACCAATTAATTGGAATAATGTTTTTTCTAATGCTGATTTTATGAAAAATAAAACTATTTATATTACAGTAATATGTATCTGTATTCTATATGTTTTATTAATTATCTATGCTCGTTATAAAGATAAGAAAGATATTGAAAAATTAGGAGTAACACCATTATCTGATAATCATAAAACTGATCAATATTATTATGAAATTATTATTTTTACTGGTCATCGAATAGATGCTGGGACTCAATCAAAAACTTATTTCATTCTAGCTGGTGATCAAGATGAAACATCAGTACGAAGATTAATAGATCCTCATCGAGAAATTTTACAACGTGGTGGTATTGATGCATTTGTAATGTCTGTTCCAAAGTAAATATACACAACTTTTGTTTGAAATTAATTGAAAAAAAATTTGTTTCTTTTTAAGATCATTAGGATTATTAAATTATATTCGTATTTGGCATGATAATTCAGGTAAAGGTACATCAGCATCATGGTTTCTTAAATATATTATTGTTCGTGATTTACAAACAATGGAAAAATCATATTTTATTTGTCAAAATTGGTTAGCTGTTGAAAAAGGAGATGGACTTGTGAGTGTTCAAATATAATTTTTCTAATTTCATCTCTACAAAAAATAATATTTATTAGATTGAGCGTATTTTACCATATGCGGATGAAAATCAGAAAAATCAATTTTCTTATTTATTATCAAAACAAGCATATCATAGTATGTCAGAAGGTCATCTATGGTTTTCAATATTTTCTCGACCACCATCGAATAAATTTACACGTGTTCAACGATGTACTTGTTGCTTTGTTTTATTATTTACTGCAATGCTTTTAAATATTCTTTATTATGATCAAACAAATGAAACAAAAACAAATCAGACAAGTGGAAGTTTATCATTTGGTCCATTATATATCAGTTCTCAACAGATTAGTATTGGTATAATTGTTGAAATTCTTTCATTTGTTCCCAGTTTATTACTTGTTCAATTCTTTCGACGAATAAATCCACGAAATTCTTATAATCAAGCATCTTCATTACGTGACGCTATATATAAAATAAAACAACAACCAATATCGTAAGTTAATTAGATAAAATTTATATATTAATTTCTTTTTTCCTATAGTGAAAAAGAAGTCATTAAATCAAATAAAAACAAACGATCATCATTGAATTTTCCATGGTGGTGTCTTTTTATTGCTTATGGTTTATCATTTCTATTAACTGTAGTTTCAATATTTTTTATTATTGTTCGTGGAATTGAATTTGGAGATTTAAAAATTCAAAAATGGCTTACATCACTTCTTACTGGACTTTTTTCGTCCATATTTTTTATTCAACCACTCAAAGTATATTTATTGATTGAGAAAATCTTTAATAAATTCTTTCTTTTATCTAGGTGATTAGTTTAACTGTATTCTTTGCATTTTTTATTCGAAATACAGATAAAGAAGCTGGCGAATATATAGATAACGATGATAATCTTCAACTAGATGCTAACGAAGATTATCTTCATTCATTACAGGTTTTATTTTTTGATTTCGATAATGAAATATTTTAATAATAATTTTTAGAATGATTCTCCATTTACAAATCATTGTCAAACTCGAATAAATCATCTTAATCAATCTGAAATTGCATGGGCTCGTACTCAACGTTTAAAAGAAATACAAATGTGGTCAATTATTCGAGAAATAATTACTTACATAACATTTCTTTCACTTCTTTACATTGTTACCTATTCAAATATGAATCAAAATGGTTTCTATCAAGTTAATCATTTCCGTAAATTCTTTTTAAACACGAGACAAATCAATTACGATTATACAAAAGTAAAATATTCTCATAATAAAAAAGAATTAATCAATTTATTTTCAAATTCTAGATTTCAACTGTTCATCAATACTGGTCATGGTTAGAAAATAATTTTCTTGAAAATATTCATGCACAACAATGGTATAATGGTGAACCACCTCGAAATCTAAGTGGTTTTATTAATGATAGATCAAATCGATTAATTGGTTGGCCAACAATGAGACAATTACGTGTTAAATCCTATTCATGTTCTATGAATTCAATGTGTCAATATGATTATAGTTTCTTTCATGAAGAAAAACAATCATATCAACCTGGATGGAAAAATCAAACAATATATACGTATAATGTCTCTATTGAACAAGCATTTCAATATCAAACTGGTGATCAATTAGGTACATATATGTATGTTGGGCAACATGCAACATATGCTAGCGGTGGTTATGTATATGAATTTCGTGGTAGTTTAAATGAAATTAAAAATGACACTGCTCAACTTCAACGATTAAATTGGATTGATAGTCAAACACGAGCTGTTATTATACAAGTTAATTTATATAATCCAAATTCACAATTATTTATTTCAGTTAATTTACTCACTGAGTTTTTATCAACTGGCGGTATTGATGTGCAATCTAGTTTTCAACCAATCTCATTTCAAAGTAATTCGTTGTTTTAAGAAATAAAAAATAGATTAGAGAATCTTGAGGGTGTGGGTAAAAGTATAGTTTAAACTCCTCTATATAGTTATGAGGATCTATTTTTACGTATAATATATTGTAAGGAATTTATTTAGTATTTACATCACTGTCTACATTGATTTGTGCAATATTTTATATGGTATTTATTATTTATATTATGATCAATGAAATAAAATCTTTAATTAAATTAAAAATAAATTATTTTCGAAATTTTTGGTCATTTATTGAATTTGGATTAATTATTTGTTCATGGACAATTATAGGAATATATATATGGCGATATCAAGAATTCTCACGTATTGGTGAACTTTTTCAAAAGACACATGGATATGTTTATATTAATCTTGAACGTGCTGTTTATATTAATGATATATTTATATATTTACTTGCTTTTTCTTGTTTTTTTGGTACAATTAAATTTGCTCGTCTTTGTCGTTTTAATTATCGTTTATTACTTTTTACTAAAACACTTCAATATGCTAGTAATGAATTATTATCATTTGCATTTATGTCGTCAATTATATATGTTGCGTTTATAACATTATTTTATTTATTATTTGTTTCAAAAATTTCCACTTGTTCAACTTTATTACATACAGCACAAATGCTGTTTGAAATGACATTAATGAAATTTGATGCACATGAATTTACTGATGCAGCTGCATTTCTTGGTCCATTTTGTTTTAGTTTATTTATTATTATAGTTGTATTTATTTGTATGAGTATGTTTTTAACAATAATTAATGATAATTTTCGAACTATTCGTAATAATAAGAAATTAAATCAGGATGAAAATCAACAAATATTTTCATTTATGTTTTATAAATTTCAAAATTGGATAGGTATGATAGTTATATTTATTTTAATTATAATAGCGTTGTAATCTAGGTTTAGGAGGATCACTTGAATTAGAACAATTTGAAAAACATGATGGACAAATGCGATCGAAATATTTCGATCCAATTGAACATTTTCCTGATAAAATTGATCAACTTTTGAATGCACTCAATCGAGTATGACTTTCATAGTTTTATCTTTAATTGTAAATATATTTGTTTATAGATTTATATTAGTCAAAATAATGTACTTCAAAAACAAGAAAAACAAGACCTTTAGATATCACTAACATTAAAATTCAAAAATATTATTTTCTTTTATGTTCTAATATAGAATCATTCCGCTTTTTGTCTTGTGAAATAAAATTGAAATACTCGATATGATATGTTCAGACATTTATGGTTCATCTGATTTAATAGTTTATAAAGAATGAAAAATATGTCTTGTGCTTTTATCAAGCTTGAAAAAATTACGACTTTTTTATATTATGACGTTTATAAATTCTGAAGATAAGCTTGTAATGATTGTGACAGTATTCCTTTTTAAACATATTTAATTTTTATAATTTTAAACGCTATACCCTCAAAAAACGCTCAGTATAACTAGAATCAAGTCGAATAGAGTTCTATTACAGATAATCAATACTGATACTATAAGTCCAATAATTAGAAACAGTTTTATGCTGACACAGACGACTACATATTCTGAAACCAATTATTTGAGAAAATAATTTTTCGTGGAGAAGTTTTTCTGATTGATCATATCTATATTTATAATCATAATAAAAGATTTTAACGAAATTACTCACTATAAAATGAAAATCGAGACAACATTTCCATACTATAACGAAGATTTTGATATTTCTAATAGAACAAAAGGTGCAGTATTTATATTTATAATGTTGCTGTTTCTAAAAAAAAAGAAACATATTTTCTTTTAAATTTCTATAGTCTAAAATAAATATTTCAGGCAAATTTGTCCAACAAAAGAACAAGTTCTGTACCATCTTATAAAATATGTATATTTAATTTTACAATCAAGTGACAATATAGTTTGACTAGAAATGAATTCATTCAAACTTTGCTGATTATTATTGAGAACAGAATATTCATGTCTATATATCATTTTATATCGATAAACCAATCGTAACAAAACTTTGTGTACAGTTGTTATGACAATTCTGTTATTCTGTAGTTGACATCATTTTTTGTCGCTTTTCTTTCAACAAGTAATTGCAACATCATGTGAAATCAATAACTAAACAAACATCTACTCGTTTAATCGGTAGAAAAAATAATAACACATCATATAAGTCTACGCAACACGCATTTCATAAACAATCTAGAATGGCAAATCAAAGTGTCGCCAACTTCCTCGCATTGCCGGTAGAACTTGTCTACCAAATACTGGATTTTCAATCGGATTGGACAATTATATGCTCAATGAGTAACGTATGTGAACGATTCAATAGAATATTAGACAACTACAATCGATACCAGGTAAATTTTTTTCTATTGACTCCAATAAAATATACATGAATAAACTATTTCTCACTCGAAATAATTCATTAGTGATCCCTCTCTCCCCACGAATTCATTTCTTATGTTATGACAATATGAATATAGTGTCCTGATAATCAGAAAAAATAAATTCCGTTTTTTCATTCTTTTCAATTTCATCAAAATATTCCAAGTTTCAAACCAGATATGACGTCATAAACATACAGTGTTTACATAAGAACGAAAAAAAAGGAACAAAATATTATTATTTTCTTTTTACGTGTATCAAAGCACCTTTTCTTTTAAATACCATTTTGATAGTTAAAATCAGCTTTTGAAAGAAATGAACGGTCGATCAGACAGTTTATCCTGCTATAAATAACGTCCTCAATATTTCTTTAAGAACATGAGTGACTATCAATGCAGGTGATGGTGGACGTGGATGGAGACAAGATTCATTCACATCACTCATACCCATTTTATTAAGGTGGAATATTTCTTCAAAGAATTCTACTTCTAAAGCAAATTTTTTTCCAAAAAAATTGCTTGGAAACGGATTTCATCTTGAGTACATTTTCTCAAGGGTGAAATTATGAGAATAATTCGTCATGCATTTATCTTTTATTATAATGAAACTAGCATTATGAAATAAATTCTGTGACATTTCTCTTTTTATAGATTAATGTTACTTCTTAAAAACAACCGTAGGGTGGCATCGAAAGAAACTATCAAAATCATATTCTCACTTATATAAACCATACGCATCAATAAGACTTAGTTCGATACTGACACGGAGTTCTGATGCAAATTTTACTACACTCAATAACACTTATTGCAATACATGGTGTTATAGGTACATAGTCTTACATTTCGCAATTGCTTTGAGTGAAACTAACTTCTAAAATTTTTCATTAAGTAAAAACTTTTCCTTCTTCCAGAAACATTTAGAAATTACAGCAACTTACAGATCGAACGTTTCTATCCCTGAATCATCCTTGCTGACTTCGTTCCAGTATAGAGTTTCACAAAACATCATCGCAATACTATGCAGTATATAAAATCCTTAAAATATTCATATCAATATCTATAGGAGCTGAAACGGCGTCAGAATAATATTTTTTTCACTTTTCTCACTTCATGTAATACTGACCAAATATTCTCTCTCTTCAACTGTACCGTGTCTTTACCTCCACTTCTTCATTTAGACAATCACCGCATTGATTATCGAGAAGAATGGAATCGGACATGTTGGAGCACAATCCTTGGGTGCTGCATTACAACACAATACAGTAATTCTCATTGTCTCTTTAACTATATCATCTCTTTACCTCTACTACTTCATCTAGACACTCATCACAATAGATCTTGCCCACAATCGAATCGGAGATATTGGAGCCCAATCTCTTGGTAATGCATTACAACATAACACAGTAACTCTCATTGTCTCTTTATCTAAACCATGTCATTACCCATACTTTTTCATCTAGGCACTCACCACATTGATTATCAAAAGCAACGAAATCGGACATCTTGGGGCACAATCCTTGGGCGCTGCATTACAACATAACACGGTAACTTTCATTGTCTCTTTATCTAAACAATGTCGTTACGTTCACTTTTTCATCTAGACGCTCACTGCACTAGATCTCTCGAGCAATCAAATCGGGAATTCGGGAGCACAATATTTGGGTGTTGCATTACAACACAATACAGTAATTCTCATTCTCAGCTTATTCATATCATGTCTTTACTTCTACTATTCCACCTAGGCACTCATCACACTAGATCTCGGACGGAATCAAATCCACAATGTTGGAGCACGATCTTTGGGCGATGGAATACAGCAGAACACAGTAATTCCCACTCTCTCTTTATCTATGCCATGTCTATACCTTAATTGTTTTGATTTAGTCACTCACAACACTAAATCTCGGAGAGAATGGAATTGAACCTGTCGGAGCACAATATTTGGGTGTTGCATTACAACACAACACAGTAATTCTCATGCTCTCTATATCTATACCATGTCTTTACCTTCGCTTTTTTATCTAGACACTCACTACACTGATTATCATGAGCAACGGAATCAGACATCTTGGGGCACAATCTTTGGGTGATGCATTACAACATAACACGGTAACTCTCCTTGTCTCTTTATCTAAACCATGTCTTTACCTCCACTTTTTCATCTAGACACTTACCACACTAGATCTCAGACGAAACCAAATCAGAGATGTTGGAGTACAATCCTTGGGTGCTGCATTACAACACAACACAGTAACTTTCATATTCTCTTTTTATGTATACCATATGTTTACTTTCACTATTTCATATAGACACTTACCAAACTAGATCTCGGACAGAATCAAATCGGACAGCTTGGGGCACAATCCTTGAGTGATGCATTACAGCACAACACAGTAAATCTCATATTCTCTTTTTATCTATACTATATCTTTATCTCCACTTCTTTATCTAGGCAATCACTATACTAAATATCCAGAGCAATCAAGTCGGAGATGTTGGAGCACAATCTTTGGGTGTTGCATTACAACACAATACAGTAACTCCCATGCTCTCTTTATCTATATCATATCTTTACCTCTACTACTTCATATAGACACTCACCACACTGGATCTCGGGTACAATCAAATTGAAGATTTTGGAGCAGAATTTTTGGGTGTTGCATTACAACACAACACAGTAACTCTCATTTTCCCTTTATCTATATTATGTCGTAACCTCTAATACTTCATCTAGACACTTACCACATTAAATCTCAACACTAATTTTATTACAATTGATGGAGCAGAATCTTTAGGTGATGCATTACAGCACAACACAGTAATTCTCATTGTCTCTATATCATATCTTTACCTGAAGTATTTCATCTAGACACTCACCACACTAGATCTCGGACGGAATCAAATCGCAGACCTTGGAACAGAATTTTTCGGTGTTGCATTACAGCACAACACAGTAACTCTCATTTTCCCTCTATCTATACTATGTCGTAACCTCTAATGCTTCATCTAGACACTCACCACATTAAATCTCAACAGTAATTTTATTGCAATTGATGGAGCACAATCCTTGGGTAATGCATTACAACACAACACAGTCAGTCTTATTCTGTTTATATCTGTGTTACATCTTTACTTCCATTTTTTTATTTAGACACTTACCAAACTGTATGTCTCAGAGAATCCGATCGGGCCTGAAGCAATAAATGCAATTGAGGAATTACTTGAACGAAATAGAAGAGAAAGAACATCGTGAATGGTAATATGTAATGTACTTAGATAAGAATTAAATCGCTGTTAATGATCATGGCGGTGTTTTTTTCTGTTATAATTTTGTCAGAAAGAATAAATAAAATTGCTTGTTCTCAAATTTAATCTATATTGTGATGAAAATGTTTTATTTAGCATTTTTCAGTCTTGACGAGGAGGATGATGACACTCTTAAAAAAACAATTTTTACGAAATAATTGGATGAGTGTGTAGCGCATGTAAAACTAAACTGAGGTTTTCTATAGCAATATTAAAACTCTCAAAGGTTCTTTTCAAGAAGACTGAGCTAGAAAAGGTTTTGTATGACAGTGCCAGAAATCTAAAATATCGTTTGGGGTTAGAACTAACGACAGAAGGTTCCATGTGATATCAGTAAAACTCTGAGACGTTGTTTCTAATGTTGCAGAAACAACGAATCGTGCCCGATGCTATTGAACTGGAAATGTTGTCTTCGTCAACGGTGAACCGTCAACTGTGCAGTATGAATTAGTGCTGAACTCAGAATGAGTCTTTGTTCAATACTGTTGAATCTAGTATGATTGTTTTAGTTTCGCATATAAGTATATGCGAAAATGCTTTATTACCTGTATTCAAGTTATTTATGATTTTGATTCTTGAATAATTGATATATGTTTCTAAGTTTACGATTTATAAATGTTGTGTTAAATAATGAGAATGTTAAAAATAAATATTTAGACTGGACTTATTTCAATTGAAACTTTTATTTCTTTTCTTAGTACAAGACAAAGAATGTTATAAAAAAGAAATAAGAAATATAGTTCCGACACACTCTATCGATAATATGTAGTACCACACTGTTCCTGATGATTCGAGTAAAAGCATGATGAACAAACTTTTTTTTTACATCCCCCACAAGTGCCAACAGCATCACTACTACACGAACTACATCCAGGTTTCAAGAAAACAGTTGTTGTTCCATAGCCGCTAACACCACTACAATTATGACCACGAAAATGTGACGAGCAAAAACGTCGTCTACAATGATCACATCGTCCATATGATGAACTTGTACATACTGAGCATTGAATACTGGCTCCAGAACCCATCTTATTCTTTTATGATGGTCTAATTTAATTATAACTGATGGCAAAAAAAGTACGATATCTCAACTAGCAAAAACTTTTTTTACTGAATTAAACGATAAATACTTTCTTTAAATACCATAATAAAAAACTTCAAGCTTGCTTTCTCTACCAAATATCGAACCGTATGTATCATAATCACAAAAATCGTTTTACCTTCAAGAATTTAGTTGGTTTTAAATAAATATTTGTCTTTACGCTTCTGTATAGTTAGAAAAGAGAAAATAATATTGAATCATCACATATTTAAAAATATTTTATTTATGAAACAAGTTATAAATCTCAAAATCTGACACTGTATCATATTTAAAATTAAGCACGTGGTATTTGCCCACTGATAGGTGGTAATAATGGTGGTGGTTGTCGAATAGATACTAGATAAAATTAAATTGAATGAATATATATTTTATTAAAAGACAATTGATGCTTTTACTCGATGACGATGACCATCGATTTTGTTGTTGCTGTTGTTGTTGTAAAATTTCATTTGGACGCATTCGCTAAATATATTAACAAAGTGTTTTTTTATTTTGATAAATAATTCAATAATAATATTTACACTTGTTGAGTCAGTTGAACCATCAAGACTTGGTAACCGTTTACGTTCATTTCTTGGACTATTGGCATTTCCCAATGCAGATCTAATTATTACTCAAATAGTAAATGGCTCAGTTAATATTTAAGAGATTCTTACTCGTCAAATCGAGCTACTTGAGTATGTACCCATTCATAAACACGATTAGGACGTGGTTGAACAGTCACAGGCGGAGTTACAGCTAAAATATTTTTGAAAAAAACATACAATAATTTATTTTTTAGTTATAATAATTGTCAACTTTTTCTATGTGCAATTGGTTTAGTAGTAGTTATCAATGATTGTTTACGTCTAGCTAATCGTAATGAACCAGGTGGTTGTTCATTATTACGTGCCATTTGTAAACGTTGATAAGCATCTATTATAAACGAAAATTTCGAAAAAGATTTTTAATTATATCTATAAAAGCAAACCCATATGTTGTCGTTTATGTCTTCGTTCAGCATTCCATTTCATTTTTTGTGCTCGTTTTAACATTAATGCTGCTGTTGAACTTGAAGGTGTAAAACCCCATTCATTTGTCATTTCATGAGGTCTTGCTGACATATCTAGAGGTTCTACTATAGGTTTAGCACGTGATGATGCTGCTGATGATGAACGAGAAGAATTTTGAAGAGGTAATTCAGTTATTATAATTGGTGTTGATAAAATTGAATGTTGTTGAGATTGCCATACTTCTTTAATACGAGTAACAGGTGTTCGTGGTCGTTGAAAACGTGCATCAAAAGCGGCCTAAAAGAATTAAAACTTATCTAAAAACTAAATAAAGATCCTAATTTACTTCATCAAATTCAAATTCAGTTAAATCAATTTCATCAAATGTTTGTTGTTGTTGACTATGATATCGTCGTACAGTACGCATACGTTGTCGTAATACATAACCACGCCAACGAGCTTGTATTTTTTGAGCTGCTTGTTGTCTTTGTTTTAATTTTCGTTCGAGTAATTTTCGACGCCAATGAGCTTGTAATCGAATAATACCTTTCTCTTTTTCCGTTAAAACTAAATAGATTTGTTGAGTATTCTTTGTCAAAAATTATTTTGAATTCTACCTTTTATTTCATTAGTTGGAATGATCATTTGAGATATTTCAATTGGTTCAATTTTTTTCTGTTCATAATATTGTTGACATTGATTATGAATTGATTTTAATAATGTAAATGGTTCTGTTTGATAATGTTCAATTATTTGACGAAGTTTAATTAGCATTGAAGTCATATTTGAAAGAAATGTTAAATATAATTGAATTAAATCAGTTGATTTCTCAATTGATAAATGAGGTAATACAGATAATGGATTTTTAAAAGATTTATTTTCAGGTATTAATGTTTCATTTATATCACATAAAACAGGATTTTGTTCAAGATTAAGACGAGATAATACTGGACAAGTATTGATAAAACGTTTTACAATAGATACATCTGAAATAAATTAAATTTCTTATTAATCTAGATATATAAATATTTTTCATACCAGATAATTGATTACATGCTAAATCAAGTTCAACTAATGATGGTAATTTAATTGATGATAATTCATGAAAACTATTATTTGATAAATGAAGATGTGTAAGAAATGGTAACCATGAACCAATTAATAATTCATCAAATGAAGTTAAACTATTTGACGAAAGATTAAGTTCATGTAATAGAACAGAATTTAATAGATTTGGTAGTTGAATAAGTGAATTTGAACTAGCTTTTAATGTTAATAATAATGGACATTGTTCAATTTGTTCCATTTCAACAAGATGATTATCAGATAAATCAATATGAAATAAATTTGTACAACCTTGTAAACCAATTGTTGTTAATAATTGATTACTTGTAGCAAGAAGAATATTTAGATTTACTAATGTTTCAATTCCATTTAAACGTGTTAAACGATTTTTTGAAACATCAAGATATTTTAAACGTGGAGTTTGTATAGCAAGAAGAGATGTTAGACGATTTCGAGATAAATTTAAATATTCTAATTGATTTAATTGAAGATGAATTTGTTCAATCCAATTACCCTATTTGTAAAAAAAAAGACAAAGACAACAAGGTGAATTGTTCATATAGGAAAATAATTACTTCAAGATCGAGAATAATAAGTGATGAACAAGAATCAAGACCAGTTAATTGAACAAGTTTACATTGACGAAGAATAAGATGAGTTAAATTAGGAAATGTAGTACCAGTTAAAGATAACGAACAAGGAGTAAGAATTTGTTCAAGATGTAGATAATGAACCTAAAAATGAAATACTTATAAAGATATATCGAAAAACATATTTATCGGAACATGCAAAAGAATATCTAAGTAATTTTCAAATAATGGTATCGATAGTAACTTATAATATCTTTTTCGCAAAACCAATATATAATATTATGTATGATTTGCATAATTATATAGTGCTTCATACAATGAATTTATAATTTATTGAAGCTTTTGTAAAAAAAATATAATGCTTATCGATTTTGATTATGACATAACTTACTATTATTTGTTAGGATAGTATTCAAAGTAAACATATATATACCTCTTTTGGTGATTGATTTTTAGCTGCTTTTATCAGTAGTTTAGAATCGATATCAGGTAATTTTCGAAGATTGCCACCTGGTTTACGTGTTGGCATTTGTTGAATAGTTTCTTCACTTGAACGAATAAGATTGAAATAAGTTATATCATGAGTATGTTCAGCCCAACGACGTGCTTCATTTAAAAATGGATATATTGATTGATTTGAATGTTGTTCTTCTACTGGTGCTTTACGAGGAGTTGATACTCTTGGTGTTGAAGGACGATCCGGTTTAACCGGAATTGAATGATTTGCTGTTACAATATCAATCGATCTTACAAATAGAATTTTCTTATCTGACGATGAAATATTTTTAGAATTATTGATCAATAAATCAGATCTATTGTCCATGAGTGTTGAAGTAAAATCAATTGATTTTCTTGGTAAGATAGTTTCAATTGGCGGAGGAGCACTCTCCGGTCTATTAATTAATATATCAGATCTACTTTCAACTTGTCTTGCAGTAATATCGATTGATTTTCTAGGTGAAATACTTTCAATTGATGGTGGAATATTTTTCGATTCATTAACAAATGTTTGAGATCGATTTAATGATATTGATGAAGTTGTATCTATTGATTTAACTGTTGACATACTTTCCATTGATGGTCTTTGAAAATTTTTCATTTCTTTATCGAATGTTCTAGATCGAATTAATGAATTTGCAAGTGAATTATTTTCAATCGATGGTGAAATTGGACTCTCGATATTTTTATCAAAAGTATTAGATCGTGTCATTGTTGTAGAAAGCTTCATAGTATTATTCGATTTAATAGGAAGTATATCCAAACGTTTATTGTTTGAGAATGAATTACTATTTAAAAAAAATACAAATGTTTTATAATAGATTGTTTGTTTAGATTAATTACCTTGGACTAGTTGACATTTGTGTTGATTCCAATTTAGGTAAAGGTTGTTTTTTATTGGATGATTTTGGTCGTTGCTGTTCTTTAGTTTGAATTGGTAATCTTTCTTCTGGATAGACTGTTGGTATAAAATCAGCTGGATTTTCAAGTTGAAGAATTTGAGTTGATGATATTGGAGGACTAAAAATAGAATTTATAAGAAAAAAAACATTGTTATATTCAAACTAACTCTATAGTTTGTTTTGATATGATCTTCTTTTTCTTTGTTAAATCTTCTTTTGGACGATTGATTTCTGTTTATAAAAATGTTAATTAATATATGTATACAATTGAAAATATGTCATACCTTTGACTGCTAATGGATGAAGTTTCGATTGCTTAGGAACAACATCTGTTAAAGGAGATGATACACGATCACTTGTTGGTAATGGTATTGAAGTTATTTCAACTTTCTGATGATTTTCTTTTTCAATAATTTTTGTTAATTTATCAGCATTTATCTTATTCATTTGTTCTTTTTTCTTACGATTTTTCGCAATTGTTTTTAATGCTGGTGTAGCTCGTTTTATTATTTCTTCATGATGTTTATGATAAACACTAAAAAGAATTTTTATTATTATTGTTTAAATATTTCAAAAAATATTAATTTACCGTTTTCCTCGATACCATGATTGAATAATAATAGCCATTTTATTTTGTCGTTCATTTGTCACACGTTCCTGTTCACGACATAATGCTTCAAATTGAAGTTTTTCATTCTGTGTCTGACGTGCAGTCTCATCAAGATTTTCCTTTAGAAAAAAAATGAAGTTTTTCAATCATAAAAAAACATTAAATCGTAATTCGAACTTGTAAACGACGGTATTCTTCAGCCAAACGAACTTGTTGTTCTTGAAGTACAATTGCATAACGCTCTTCTTCTTCCTAATCATAGTACGATTATAAAGAGATAAAGAAAAATGAGTAAATATTACTTTTCGTCTTTGTTCAAGTAATGCTAAATCAGCCAGCATTCTTCGATGTGATTCAGCTAAACGTTCATCATACAATTGTTTATTTGGATCTTCTTGTTGTCGAGGTGTTGATTCGGCAGACTTACATAAAAAAATTTCTTTTATTGAGTAAAGGATATCCAATATTAACTTACTTCATCAGTTTCAATTGGTTTTACATCTCGTTTTATTATTTCAACTTTAGGAACTTCATATTCATTTGAATCGGAATTAATCGATGAATCTAATGGTAATTCTTCAGTATTGATATTATGTAAAATCTAAATTTAATATTGATAAATAAAATTCTAATTTCAATTATTTCATACTCGATCTAATTCTTCACGATCAATTCCACATACTCGTGCAACATTTGTTTGAATATCTTTATCATTATCACCAATTGGTTTTTTTAATAATTCATCAATTTCGGAATAATCAATTATACATCGATCCATATTAACATTAACTTCATTTTCAAATGCTGCTAATCTTTCATGCATTTCACGTTCTAATTTTTGTCGCGTTTCATTTAAAACTTCTTCACTTTCGATCGCTTTTGTATCATTTTCATTATTCTTATCATCTTCATCGTCATCATCACCATCGTCGATTGAACCATCAAGTGATAGTGCATCAAGTTCTTCTTGAATAAGTTTATCAAGATCATAATCATCGTCTGTCATCATTTTTATTGAAAATTTACCAGATTTTTTTGTTCCTTTCAAATTTATTTATGCCATTAAATGTTTCTTTACAGATCGGTTACTAAGTTTCAAAGCATTTCAAATAGAGGGACATACAATCGTCTTATTAACATTGGTCACAATAGAAATAATCTACAGCAATTAAAAGTTCAATTTTTCAATTGAACATATTATGCAGATGTTCATATTTTTCTAATATATTGAATAAATATATCTGACATCTATTAATGTTAAAAAAAGAAGAGAATCTTATTATAGTTTTTGAATCTGGTGAAATGTAAAGATATTAAATTCGATACGATGCTCTTTATTAACTGTAAAATAACCATTTTCTGTTGTTTTATGTGAAGCAGATATTAAATAGGAAAACATGAGATATCAATTGAGTATATTATAATATTGTTAATACTAAAAAAAGACGGTAGATGTCGAAACAACTTTTATAACATCAATATATTTATTAACAACTCTATCTATGATTGTTCATTTGTTTGTATGATTACCAACAGTATTTCTCAATTAATTAGTTCATCAATGATACAATCTATATTGTTTTATTATACAATGATATTTTTGTGCGGTTTACACATTTATTAATTATAACCTTTAAGATATGAAGGTTATCAACAATTGCATGTTCCGTATATAAAATTATGAGAATTGATTTATATTTCATAGTAGCGACATCTAATATTGTATTTATATTTTATTATTTTTAGAACAAATATTTTTCTTAAAAGTAACAAGAAAATTTTGAAATTGATTTTTTTTCAAAAATATCGATATATATTGGTTGTTCATTTAACCATATGTATTAATTAATGCCTGAAGTTCAACAGCACACACACACAGGATGTCAATTCAGATCTCTCTCGCTGTGTTTATTATTGCTCATAAATATTGATAATAAAATCATCTCGTTTTGCTTTAGATTTCTTCTTGTTTTATCTAATTGTTTTGTTTTTAAATAAAAATGTCGCGTACTCAACAAAAATTGCAAGCTATGTCAGCTCAAGAATTATTAATACAAGAAAAGAAACGTTTAATCGAAGAAAAAATGCGTCTTGATAATGCAAAAAAAAGTCGGCATGAACGTAAGTTCATATTTTATCTAAAAAATTAATTGAATCTAATAAACATATATATCTAGCTACCAATCCACCTAATGTAAATAATAAGTAAGATTGAAAATCAAATGATGATTTGATTAATATTTTCTATTTTTTATAATAGTTTCGAAAAGCCACAAACAGTAGGAAATAATATGTTTAAAAATGATGGTTCATTTCTTGAACAATTTCAAAAATCTCAAGGACAATCATCTGTAACAAGTCAAAATACTGATATACGACAAGTATATTTAAATTGTAAATTCTGAAAATAATTATATTAGAAATCTTTTAGTCATCATCGTATGGAAATGAATATCCATCAATGAATTCATCTCAACAATTTGCACCACCTTGGTTTCCGCCAAATCCTCAATCTTCTTCTATATTTGATCAAAATGGTCCGCTACCATTTCCGATGCCACCACCACCATTCAATCCATGTAAAAATAATTGAATCTTTCTTTAACTAATATGATTATATTTTGTTTTATTATTTTAGCTCAATTACCACCACCACCTTTTCCTCCTCCATTTAATACACAATCACCTTTTTTTCCACCTCCTCCATCGTCAGTTACTAATAATTCTTCTAATTTTGTTCCTCCACCATTTCTTCCACCATCATTTCCATTACCACCACCTGAACTTCTTTCAAAAATGTTTCAAGGACCTCCACCACCTTTACCAATTCCTACACCTGTAAATAATTCATCAACAACAACTGTTAATAATAATATTAAGAATGAAGATCTTTATGATCCTTTGAAAGTTGAAGATGAAGATGAGGAAGAAACTGAACAAAAAAAGAAACCAATTCAAAAACAAACTAGTAGAACATTTAATATAAAAAAAGAATATACAATCAAAATCGAACCAAGTATATTTTTAATAAACATTCCTGAAACAAAATATTTATTATTATGTATATATTTTCTAGATCAAGTAGCATCAACAAATACAAATCGTAAGTATAGTTCGAATTGAAAAGAACAAAAAAGAAAACGTTATCAAATAAAATTTCATTAGGCGAAGGCAAAACACTTTTTTTTTATTTTTTCCATTATTTGAAAAACTGATCATTAATGCCGTGTTTGTCCAGTTTCTTCCTTAGAGTATGAACATCAGAAGCATGATAATGGTGGATATCGTCGACATCAAGGCACCACCACATCGACCGATCTTTCTTCTTCGTCGGCGTTGTGGTACATACATACACACTTTGGATATATTTATTCTTGTGTTGAGCTATCATTTTTTTCTTCGATTTTTATTTATACGATTATTAATTCAATGTATTTTTATTTTACATATATAGGTGGAATGATGACGAAGACGACGATGGAGTTGACCGAAAACAAGATTCAATGAATAAACAAACGATCAATGATCGTAAGTATACAATTTTAAAATCTCGATAATATACTTATATACTCGCTCATTATAGAGAACGAAATAAGATGGAAGCAAAGTATCACATGATGTATAAAATAAGAGCAAAGCTTGAAATGAAAAGGAGTTATAAGAACAGGACAAATCTCGTTATATCCCTGGATGTAAATTAGACGCTCTTCTGAGCATCCGTAACATCAACAGAGAAAAAAAAAAAAAGAATACTAAAAAATACATGTTAATGAAAAACCATTAAAATACAAAGGAAGGCATGAGCTTGATGAAACAAATCATCAGACAGCAGAAGGGAAGCATTTCCACTGCATACTGCTCTTGAATGAATCCATGTCTCTTCAGTTCATTGAAAAGATGAAAAGTCATATTAAAATCATACCAGTACACGCAAGTCTGGATGTTGATGTCACTTATATGTTAACAACATGCGCTTAATTGTGTTATTGATTTTAGTGTAAGAGATCAGTGTATGGAATCAGTGAGAAGAACGGATGAAGTGTTGAACGATAGAGTAAGTTAAGACGATACATCGCATCACGTATGAATGTTATTAGGAAAGTCCGCTGGGACTATACCCATGTAAATTTTACATACATACGAACAATTGTCTATTACGCAAGCCGTCACATATTTCGGATTGTTCGAAGCGTTAGTAGCAAGTTGATTAATATTAGAACCAATGGTAGTTGAGGATCTCGACCAAAATTGATGTATGCCGAAGCCGGAGTATTGCTCGTTGTTTCGTTGACAGAAGGAGGCGGATGCAAAAAAGGCTACCATTCGAGATGCGTACTCCAAAACAAAAATGACGTTGTTCATAGATTGTAAAGTACGTTTTGAGTATTCGATTTGTTTGTGGATGGTAGTTAGTGATAAACTCTCGCGCAGTGACCAGTATGATACACACGTTGCTGAATGGTTATTAAATACATCGTGGATCCTTATTCGACAAGATATATAAAGGAATACCGTAACAATAAATGACTTCATCAATAATAAACTTTGATAACGTGTGTAGCTGTACATTGTCTTAAAGTGAACAATTCTACCTATCTTGTGAAAGAATCAACAGCACTCCATAGAAATTGTTTGTGTTGGACTGCAGAAGATATTAAATTCATTAAGATGATACCAAATGTTCTAAGGTTGTGACATAAGTGAATTAGAATATTTTAATTGTTGACATAATGAATAAGATTGAGCAAAATTGAAGATAATAATAGTTTTTTATTAGTTATTATGAAATAAAATAAACCAGAGCTTTCAGCACATCAAGTATCATCGTCACTAGAATAAATACTGTATTGTGATGTTGATTAAGCATAATATAGTAAACTATAATTGTGTATCACTGAATTACAAGTAACAAATACACAATAAATAGAAAACTACGAATATTTGTCTGTACAACTATAAATGATGACAATAATGTAACAGATCTTGATAGAATTAATACATATAACATTAAAACAGTATTTATTCTACTGACGATAGCACTTGATGTGCTGAAAGCTCTAGTTTATTTTATTTTATAATAACTAATAAAAACTATTATTATATTCAGTTTTGTTTTATTGATGCAAAATCTGTTACATTATTGTTATCATAACAAGATTGAACATACTTGAAAACATCTTGGAAGTGTTTGAGGAATAACAAGTAGATATTGATTAATGAATTGCTAGTCGTAAGAGTTAAAACGACGAATTTTGTGGAGGTGGTCTTTAATAAAAATGTTTGCACCTTCTCACGTCTCTACCAGTGCCAGAGATGGTTATAATGATTTCTAGACTGGAATATGATATTGATTATATTTATTTTATTAAGAAGTCACGTACCTTAGTGAATATTGATAGTCCCTTATAAGGTACTTGGAGCAAATATTGTCGAAGATGTTTGTGCCTTCTCTCATCATGTTAAACGATTGGTTTGAATTGTGTACCAGAGTGTTCAAACCAGTACACAACAGGTGATGTCGGGATATTGTTATGAACCAATATGGATGCTTGACTTCAAGCACAGAAGTGAGAAAATCGAACATTAGGGCTGCCAAATGTGACGATTTCTCACAGAAATTTTTTTTATACTGACGTTATTACACTTTGTTATATTTCTTCTTATCGACAATCGCATCGATTTATATACCCGCCCATCAGAAAGAATGAAAGACATGAGAGAAAAGGACATTAAGGACGAAGTACGATGAGAACGAGGTATTTGTTAACCTCAGTATATAGGGACAATAAAATTGAATATTGAAAGAAAACGATGGAAGCACAGGATTACATGATATATAAAATAAGGGCCAACCTTGATATGATAAAGAATCATAAGAACAGAACAACTGAATATTTTTTTAAAATTCACTTTATTTATTTCAATATTTTTATTGTAGAAAATACGGAAGAGAATAATCGTAAACGTAAATCACGTTGGAGTGGTAAGTATCAAAACATTTTTTTAAAATAAAAACATGTAAAATAAATCTGATATATTATAGCATCAGCAATTAAACAAGAAGCTGACGAACATAAGTTTGTTCAACAAATTCATGAAGGTTTGAAGAAGAAAAAACGATATTTTTTATTGAATTTTTTTGTTTTTTTTCAGCAACGGAGAAAGCAAAAACATTTGTTGCACAACTTAATGAACAAATGAAATTATATCCTGAAGGATATGATGCAACTAAAATGAAAGATACTCAATATAATGAACAAAAAGAAGTATAAAGAAAAAAAACTTAAAAATTATTTATTTTATTTTAAAATAAAAAAATTAAATATTTATTTAGCTTCAATCAATTTATCAGACTATGATGGTTAAACGACGAGAATTAGAAAAACTTGCAAGACAACAACATAATAAACGTGAATATGATTCTGATGAAGAAACTGATTATGAAACTGGAACATGGGAACATCGTTTACGTGCAGCTGAAATGGATATAACACGCGGTTAGTATTTTATATTGATTCTTTTATTTTAATAATAAAAATTTTCTTCTTTTAGAATGGGCAGTTAAATTAACAGAAATGGCTGATGGTAAACATCATATTGGAGATTTTATTCCAGCACATGAATTAGAAAAGTTCATGAAAACTTATTCTGTAAGTTTCATTTAATAAATAATATTCGATAATAAAATATTTCGTTTTGTTTATTCTATTTCTCAAGGCATTGAAAGACGGTCATACACCTGACGTGTCAGATTATTGTGAATTTAAAATTCAAGCTGAAAATATTGGTTATCGACTTTTAGAAAAATTTGGATGGAAAGAAGGACAAGGTTTAGGAAAAAATGCTCAGGGAATGATTAATCCTGTTAATAAGTAATTCAATTTAATTTAAAACAGTTTCAATCATGTATATATATGTATAGAGGAGCAACACCTGTACATCATGGTGGACTAGGAATAGATCGTCCATCAGAATTAGATCGTAATGATGATGAATTTAAAATGTATCGAAAACGTATGATGCTTGCCTATCGATTTCGACCAAATCCATTAGTAAATACTTCTATTTAAAAAACAATATATAGTATTTAATTTATTATTTTAGAACAATCCACGTCGTGATTATTATTAAAATAAATTTTATAGCTTTTCTAGTTTTTCTTCTGTATATAAACGAAGTAATCTTTTTTTCTTCTTTCACCTTGTATTGTTGTTTATGACTTTTTGTGTTTATTTTTTTTCCTTCGATTGTATTCGTATACATATAAACTTTAACTTAACAATAAACAAAGTAAAAGACTATGACAATATATAATTGTTTAGGACTAATATCAATATTCAAACAATAGAACAAACAGATGAATTTTTCCTAAAATTAATACTAACTCTACCTTTCGATATACGATCAATCGTTCAAATTCTTCGTACCCACTAATTAATTATATGCTAACCATATCGATCGATATTTAACTACTCAATTATAATTAGTACTATTATTTTACAGTTACTAGTATAAAAAAATTAAATAAATTTTTTTGTAATATAGAAATTGTCTATTCAATTATTTAAATGAATACATAGCGTCAATGAAATAATATCGAAGAAAAAAAGGAAACATTATGTTCATGATTTCATTATCACTACATGCCACTAAAATAGCAGCGGTACCTTGTTGAAAATGTGATAATAGCCGTACAATAGCAAGAATCGAATGTGTGATATATAATGTTAGTTAAAAGAGAAAGAGTGCATGTCAAAAGATATTTCTTTCATAGAAAATTGTACATGCGTAATATAGAACAAAATTCAACCAATTACTTTATTTTCATCATAAAAACAAAAGTTTTTCGTTCAATATCGAATACCACATCAATTTTCTGGAAAGAAAAACGAATTAATCTAATTTTATATGTGAATGTTTTTCTTCTCCTAACTAAATTTTAATCACCGATATCAAACCAGCTTAGAAAAATGAATATTGTATCAATTAGTTCTCCTTCATTTTAACCGTAACAATATCTATTTCCCAGAAAGTAATGATAAAATATCTGATTATTGATTAAACATGATGTCATATTATCCATATACATTAACACTCATCATTTTGGTGATAAATCTTCAAACTGAAAAGTCAAAAAATAAAGTGTGTCTTTTCGATCTTCAATTCCGATCTAAAGATAAAAGTAAATCACAGAAAAAAATAAAAGCTGATAATGGAATGTTTTCATATAGAATAAAAGAGAATATTATTCGCACTTGACACGTACAATAATTATTGTATTTGATGAATAATTTCGAACTTAATTAATTTTCGAAATAAAAAAAAAGGTATTTTCAAAACACTAAAAATCTTTTCCATCATGAATAGTCATTAAGAGAGAGAGAGGGAGAGAGAAAAAAAGAAGAAACGAATAATAATCATAGCTTCTTTTAATTGATTATCTTTTCTCATTGGTTCTTTTTCAATTTTTTTTCTCTTTTTCAAAAATAGAGATGAATTAAATTTTTTCTGTATTATCGTATATTTTCTTTTTTTTCTCTTTCACTCGATTAGCACCTGTTGCAGAGAACGTGTGAACACCATACCAGTTCTATTACAATGTTAACTCCACTTGATACAAGAGATGATGTTAGTAAAATTCCAACAGAATATTATTATACACATCAACAATCTCATCCATATTATTGTTCATTACCATTTAATGATAATTCAAATAATCTTCATCATTATCGTCCATCAATTTATGAAACAAATCATTATTATCCACTTTCAAATCAAGTGAATTCAAATACTCAAGTCTCATCAACAGTTTATAGACCAAATTATCATCAAGATTATTCATCTGAAGAACATGGGAATGAAATAGTATATTCACAAAAACCATCCACATATAATCATAATTTATCATCTTCAATTCCAACTCTTCCATCAAATGTAACATTTCAACAACATTCATCTTTTGTTCAAAATAGTAATACTAATAATGTAGATTATTTAACATCACCATCGAATGGATCTTGTCAATCGAATTCTGTTATTGTTGAGTTAGTTAATCGACCATTATGGATGAAATTTGCTTCTCACACACATGAAAATATTATTACAAAACGTATGTATATGATTTAAATGAAATTTATTTCTAATATCATTCATGAATATTTAGCTGGTCGTCGTATGTTTCCAGTTCTTGAATTCAAAGTCTACGGATTAAAACCTGAAGTAGCATATGAAATATATGTTGATATGGTTTTAGTAGATGTTAATTATTGGAAATTTACTGGTAAATGGATGCCAACTGAACAAGCTGAACAATGTCAAAAAACAAGTGAATACAATGATTTTTTAAAATAAATCACTCAAATTTTATTCTTAGGTCATCATTATTTACATCCAGATTCACCAACTAGTGGAGCACAATGGATGAAATATGATAAAATATCATTTTCAAAATTAAAATTAACAAATAATAAACAATTAACAGCAACTCAGTCGAAAAATCAAGTAAAACTTTTTTGTTTTTATTATTATTTTTAAATAAATTCTTTATACGTGAAAATTTAGAATACAATCATTCTTAATTCAATGCATAAATATATACCACGTTTAAATATTGTAGAAGTTAATGGAAAGCTGCCTGATTTAATTTCATCATCCAATAGAAATGGTTTATTACCGAAACATACATTTACATTTCCTGAAACAGAATTTATTGCTGTAACTGCGTATCAAAATACAGATGTATGTTATTATTTTATAAAAAATTATTTTTTCAAATTTAAAGTATTTTAATAGATTACTCAATTAAAAATTGATAATAATCCATTTGCTAAAGGCTTTCGCGACAGTGCTGATAATCGGTTTGTTTGATATATTATCTTTTGATTTTATTTATTATATTTTGTCCTTTTTAAGAATGACTTATAACCCATATTCATATGAATCTGGAAATAATCTTCCAGTTGATTATTATGATAATACATATGAAGATCTACAAGCTCATAAAAAAAGACGATACCAATGAATCTATTCTTTGCGTTTATTTGCATTTTCATTTACTTATTTGTATCTATATGTCTTAATTTTTTTCTCTCTCTTTCTCTCCATTCCATTTTCATACTTCAATAAATTATATTGAAATGATGTTTGAGATTTGAATGATAAATCGATATACGTATATTACAGAATGAGTCCTAAAACGAATGGATTTGTAAATAACTGATGTATATCGTAATTATGAAGTAACGGACATACGATATTCGAAAGAGTCATGATTGTTTCGTCATTAATATTAAAATATATATTAAAGATATCAAGTATTGATAAATGTGTATGCATTATTTCGAAATAAGTTTACCATGAGTAATCAAAACAAAGACTTTATGAAATTCATTTTCATTTTATTATAAATATTTATAAAAAGATTAGTTTATAGAGGCTTTGTTCGAAGACTAAAAAAAGTCAATTAGTTTTAATAATTGGCATCGCAAATATATAAAAAAAGAATGTCAATTCAACATAGAATTCATATGTTTTACGTACATCATATAAAAATAAATTTCGTATAATCATTATTCCAAATAGAAGACAATTGATTAGCATATATGTTGATTTGCTCACTATACGCTCTTGTTCAACTAGACTTGCTTCAATAAGAATAAGCAATAATACACAAAAAAAGATTTTAGCAATTAATTGTGCTGCTTTTCGATTACCCATTGTGACAGAAAATGTTCGCTTTCCTTGAGCACGATCACCTTCAACATCTCGCATATCTGCTTGAATCGTAGCAGCGGCAAATACACAAGAATTAAAAACTATATTCCATAAAATTTTTGGATGATCATATATATTAGAAACATGATTCATTAAACACCATACAACACAAATCGTAGTATAAATACCTGAAGCCGACATACTATTCTTTCCAATACTTGTATTTTCAAGAGTAGCAAAATTTAGAATAATTGTTATAAAAACCCATAGTAAATATGGAAATAAATGACCGATTGAATAAGAATAAACAATAAAAAACGTAACTGTAAAACATTTTTCTATTTTATTGCAAGTATATCAGGTGTATTATTTTCTATGAAAAATTAATAAATAATTTGATAAAGACATTGACTATAGTGAATCTCGAATTACATGAAATCTGTGAAGTTGCAGCTAAATACCTTGCTAATAGTTTACAACATAATACAATACGACTAAACTACATCGGTTTTTTTTCTGCGACTTATCATTCCCTATAGACATTAACTTCATTAAATCTGAATCAGAATATAATTGATGATAAAAGTGTTGAATATATCTTGTCAATTCTTTACTAAAAAACAATGTAAAAAATCTATTCATTCTGTCGTCATTATTGATATAAGATTTCTCATAGGTAATAGCTACATCTAATATTGTATCAAACAAGGGTGTGGATGTGAGTATTCTCTTAACGTTTACCCTTACCCACATCCACACCCTCAAGACTGTTCATTGTTTATGTGAATTAATAAGTTCTTCAAGCAATGACAAAATAGATCGCTATTGACTTTTACAATAAGTCAACTGTATCCGCAATTTTGTACAGCTCATTAAGGATTGCCGAATGAAATACACGTCAGATATAAGGTGAAAAGTAGTTCATTTGCCAAGAGTCTCTATTACAGAGACGAAACATCGTTGTTTTCTGCTTCTAGAATTTATTGTTAATTATTAAAAAACTATAAACTAAAATAACACTATGTCTCCCCTGCTTGATTATATTAATTCAATATAGATAGTTATTTCAGATTGTAATTGATTTTACTCAAATTAATAAAATCAATTCAACTCCGAGTGACAATGTCTTTTAATGCGTAAATTTGCTGGTAAATTGTATTAGAATTATAATAAAGTTTGATCACTTCATATAATCTATTTCCCATACTTGTACCAAATTTCTGAGTAGCTATTCTACGCAATTCCATCATAGATACGTCTAAACATTTACTTTCATATTCATCGATATGCATGAGCTCTTCTTTGAGTTCGGTATCTGTTTTATTTAGTTGACCTTCGAATTCTGGAAAGAAAACTGAATTTAAATTCTTTTCTTCACGATCTCTTCGCAGTGATCCATAATCGTTATAAATACGGCTTTTGATCGAAATATGAGAAATACAATCTCGTACAATGTATTTGATCTCTGAAGTTGGAAAAAAATCCGCCTTACCATCATGTGTATTGCTAAGTAAACATGTAAGAAATGCAAATATACATGGTGTACTGAAATGATCAATCGCTGTCGTGTGAATCCATCGGAAATAGGAGGAACGTGGTGTATCAAACGTAATTATTGATGTCTGTGCTTCTAATCGTATACTATCTTCACATTGTTTAAAGTTTGCAAGAATAAAAGACTTAAGCTCAAGCTGCAATTGATCTTGATCAGTTTTACTTGCAGTCACTATTCGTGGATGTGTATTAATGAAATTCACAAACTCGAGAAGACGATTATTGATTTCTTCAACGTTCTGATTGCATTTATTTTTATTCAATGTATTAAAATTCTTGCTGATAAAAGTACGCACACTCGTTAACGTGTCAATGTCGTACTTGCGTAAAGTGATATCGAAAAAATCATCCAGACGGTAAAAGACTGCTGATATAGATATCATGTCGAAAATAGTTTGTGCACTTAAATAGATCTTATCCATATTATTTGATGTAGCCCAAAAGATCGATATGTATTCGAAATAAACATTTTCTGTCTGAAATATGTTTGGTTCCTGTTTTATTAGTATTGAATGGAACAGATAAGCTTCAATGAGATACACTCTCAGCTGCCATTCTTCTACACTTTTCAAGATAGGTAATTGCTTTAAAAATTTGACGAATTTATTCACTTTTTCGATCGGTATATATGATCTCGAATGAGTATTGAATACGTATAATGGAACAGGAGCTTGCAAAGCGGACAACACATAAGAACGGTTAATACATTCACTTCCATACACGATTTTATCAATCCAAAGAAGTTCTTTGGATTCAACTTCCGTTGAGTTTGTGTGCGATGTGGATTGTAGATAAGCTCGTCCGCGTGCTATAGCGACGTCTATCTGTGCACGTATTGACTCTACAAACGGTAAAGATGCAAGATTAGCCAGTGCTATGATTGCATAAGATGTTTCTTGACGAGAACCATTCTCTCCCCAAGAACCTGTTTCTACTGATTGGGATTGAAGAATACGAACGATTAGCTGAAATAGTACGATGGGAACTTTGTCTTTAATAAGATTGTCTGGCAAAGATGGGAACGGAATATCATCATGACGATATAAAAGAAGGGTTAATCCTTGCGATACAAGCATGGCTGGATATAACCATGAAAGATGCTAAGCAATAATCAATTTTCTCAAATATCTACAAGAAATAAACAAAACTTACCCATTTGTCCGTCAACATACCGTCATTTGTCCACCATTTGTCGCAAATAAATGTCACCACTTTTTCTATTTGATCAGTATACTGTTCTGGTGTAGAAACATGTAGTAAACTAATCAAAACATTACAGTTAGCACTGATACTTGGATTGCGTTCCTCCAGATAACATCGAAAATGTGTATCCACCTCGAAATTTGTAATAAGTGGTTGAACTGAAGGTGAATCTCCGAGATAGTGTAAAACTGTTAATGATTTAGCTGTATCATCTGCATCTGGTAGTTGATGTTCAGCTAAATTAGAACAGTATTAAATTTAGAAAGAAACATAATACGTTAAAACATACCAAATCCAACGATACCATCCTGCACAGTTAGTACTCTTTTCAGCATATCTTTTATTCGATCAAGACAATATTTATCGAGTTTGTTCGCTTCAAAACCATTTTCCAATAAATTACAGATAACCTTTAAAAGAATTGTATAAAATTTGATACTAATGTACAAAGTACGACAAGAATATGTCAAAAAACCATCTTGAGCGTATGGGTGGACATCGGTGGGTGTGAATAGGATGCACAGACACTCACACCCACCCTCACATATGAGCGTTCATCGTTTAATTTCAAGCCGAAGAAGGCATCTTTCGACAACAATCTTTCAAACTCAAGAAAGGGACTGAAGATATAAATCGACAATTTGAGCACTCCCTTCTACAATAACGACATCGATTTCTTAAGAATACTAACTTACCCACGAAGATGCAAAAATAGTAGTTGGCCAAAAGGTGGGAACTCCTCTGTTTCCATATTTTTCACAATGGGAGGTAACACGTCGAAGATATTGTTCAGCTTCTTCATCCCAAACAGAAGCGTTCATAAGATACGCAGCTGTTGAAGAAGGAGAGGCCATGAAACTTCCTTGACATTTCAGATTAACAAGCCGATCAAAGTTTATCTTACCAATGAAGGCTTCTAAGGTATGGTGACAAGAACTTTGCGTTTCATAAATCATTGAATCTTTGATCATGGACATTTTTTTATGATTAAGAGCAAGTAGAGCAGCACAATCACGAAATTTGAATGTAATACCGAACTCTTTCTCAAGTAAATCAAATAGCGTCGGAATAATCAGCTCGAAAGCAACTCGTTCTGTTTTCATAACTTCCCAATCATTCAGCTGACTGTTGAGAAATGCAATAGCAGTATCAATTCGATGAACGATACTATCTTGACTTTCTTTCCAGAGATGAATCGTCGATTGATGACGCTTTAGTGAAAGAAGACATACCAATGTATTAACTATTCCATCAATAGAAGGACAATCGACTTGCCATCCTCCAATACTTGACTGGCAATCCAATATAAACTGAAAGGCGTCCGGAAAAAGCCACTGTCTTACGCCATTGATAGATTTATCTATCATTGAGACCCAGGCTGTGTCATATATACTTGAATTAAGCGTTCCAAGCTCATGATCTTCATCGTATTGATCAACGATTTTCTTCAGAAGTACATTAGCCTCACTATACCAATCAGTGTCGAGCGACGAGGTAGTTGTTGACGTCATTGCGCTGAATATGAATCGATAATTATCTTACTCTAGAATACATTAAAAAACAATTCTCTCTCCAGTTGAGGGTGTGGGTAACCGTGGGTGAATATGGATGTGAATATGAGATAGTCCAGATACACACCCACACCCTCAAGAATTAATACCCAATGATTTTATTTCAATCAAAGGCTGTCTCACAAATTCACCTGGTATATCATTTTGATCTTATGAATTATAATTTAATGTTATTTATCATTTTTAGTTTCGATAGTTGTGTATGTAGCCAAGAAAATTGATAACCACTGAAGTAGACGATTAGTGATAGTTTTTATTCAGCAAAAATAACAGAGGAAAAATGGTATATGGAACCAAAAGGAAATCAGAATGGAAAAAAGTTATAGATAAGAATCTATTTTCCTATAAAAATAAAGCATAGTACTTTAAAAATAGTAATAGTTATATGTTCTCAAATGCTTTGACAAGTATTATTTATTTTCTTTAAAATCATTCTATTTTTAAACAGAAATAAAAGTATGAAAAGAAAGTATCATAATTATCTCTATTTGAATTTACAGTATGCGGGTCGTTTACTTTTTCGTCTAAGTATTTATTCTCACTGATCAGTATGGCTATTATACAATAGATACCTTTTTTTATATATGCTGAGTTACTGTTTTACTGACATACCTATATAAAATATTTTATAAACGAAATAAATAACGTTGAAACAACATTATATTCATATAAATCTGACAAATAAAATTTATAATCATATGACAATTTGATGCATATATTTATTGGATATCATTATCTTTATAATATCGATAAAGAATAAAATGACAAGATTAATTACTTCGAAATGGAAATTTCTTTTTATATACATCGGAATGTATCCCATGAATAATATCAACTGTAAAATAGATGAGAATGAATCAGATAGATCCGTACTCAAACTATTATAATAAATCTATCATATGGTTTGTCTTAGATCTCATTTAATATACAACAATAAATATTAAGCCTTAGTGTAACTTGCTTACTACTTTTAATACATAAAATGTATAGATACATAACAAAATCGTAGAAAAGTAAGGTTCTTTTTTATTTCAAATGCTTCAATTACAACAAGCGAGTATCTACTATAATTATTATTGTACATTTGAAATTTTCATTTGAAATGAATTCAAGTCAATAAAAATAAATAACAAAATACTAATCAAATCTGTACTTTTGTAAATTTATTTGCATTTAAATACGCTATGTATACTAAAATATACTGTTTTCCCCCGTGATAAAAGATCTATATAAGTATTAATTGTGTAATATAATATTGAGAAGTGAAAATTCGATTCAATTTAGGAAGCATCACAGACTAAGGTATAAAGTAAGTAGTAATAAAAAAATATTACCTAAAGTTTTTCATCGCATGAAATAGATTGTAAAAATATTAGATATCCAGCTTAAAATTTCTTATCGTACTTACTTGTTGATATTCGTTTCATATACTGAATATATAGCAATATTTTTTGTGTATTTATATGTATAATTATCGATCATAAAAGAAACAGTTGAATGATAAAATAAAACTAATATTGAGTGTATTCTATTTTAGTATCTTTTTTTTGTTTATTTTTATATTATTTGGATGTCTTTTTCGTTTGTATTGATAGGATACATCTGTATCTGACGTCAAACATTTATTATTAGAAAGAAGTAAGGTATTTTCAAGTCTATTCTCTTTCTAAATAAGAAAAGAAAATAATATGATTTGCAATCATACTTTATATGTTAGTATTTTCTTACTCTGACTCATTATCCTCATGTGTCTTTATTTATTCTTTGCATTAATGCACTTGTATCACTTTTTCTATTGCTCATCTTGCTTCGACTCCATGATTTCTAACTAATACTACGTTAATATTTAGCAAGTTTATTTCTTCATTAGACTTTCAAAACTTATTGTATTTTCTTGAGAATGTATTAAATATTGCATGTGATAATTACTTGAAGATTTTAATATATCTTTTCATTAGATAAATATTATAATATTATTATTTTTTGTGTGTTACACGTTGTCGTCAATATTATTGTTCTTTAGATTGTAAACAGGTGTATAATAACATAGAAATTTTTTTTAAGAAGGTACTTATTAAAGAGTATGCATAGAAAGAATATTAATGGATCAGAAATACTTTGTTTTTAGGATAAAAGTTCATCATAATTGTCAAAAAAATGAGAACAATTAGTATTAGTTTTGTGAATAACTATTAGAGTTAGAAGAGGTAATTAAAAAAAGGAGTATTTGAACAGACTATTTTTTAATATAGAAAATAATGAGAGTGGATTTTACTTTGGACTTATTAGATCTATCACTAATATAAACAACTTTTAAGGTGTGGGTGAATGAATAGTAGAAATTACACCCAGACCCACACCTAATGATATCACTGTTTGTAAGATGGATTGATTATTCAAAAACTTTTTATGATGATTTAACCTATTACTGATATTTGTATCTATAAATATGACTATGTCGGAATGTATATTTATCATCATTGTTTATGGTCACATTCTAAACAAATTCTTCACTTTACTTCTAGTAAATCTTATAACAATGTTTTTTTCTAAAAACATAATATTTATGGTTCGGTTCTTATTGCCACAAATATTAATAGAAAAAATAGCCCAAAACTGATTTAAGTCAAAAATGTGTTAAAAGTATTTATTTTTCTCAAATAAGAGTATAGACGCATTTATTAATTGGCAAAACAATTTATTCCACTCTTGAATGTTATATAAATTTCGTTTCTTTGTAGTCAAACAATCAAATATCATGTTCAAATCTTCAGATATAGATTTTGAAAGCATTTTATCTTATTGTTTTCTATTATCTAACAAACGAGTATTTATTTTGCTTTATATATCATATACGACAAGATAATTATATCATAAAATACGAAGAAGTACGAACGAACACACATTGATGTATTCTATTATGACGATAATTCGAAGGAGAAACGATTATTGTAATAAGTCGTATTTGCATGTTACAATTATTTAACGACGATTATTTCGATTGATTGATTTATTCAAAATATTGAAACTATATAATATCTATTTTAAATGAATAGTTGTCTTGTTTTTAGTCTGTTGATAAGCTAAATAATGATACAGAATAAAATAACTGTTATATGGTATATTATTTGAAATAAAGTATAAATTAAAAGTAATTAATTATGCTATAATAAAGCTTTTCTTGTGCTCTGTTGAAGAGTAATCTGATAAAACCGAAAATATTGAATTCATTTCAATCGTCTCATTTGAAACATCGGAGAATTGATTAGAAGATCATTTTACTTTTATTTAAAGATCTTATAAACAGTTAGACTTTTAAAATTTGATCAGCTACGTATTACTATTAAACAGTCGTAGGATTTAATATATAGTTTATTGTGACAAAATATGAAATTTTCTAGCAACTACCTGAAATCTAACTACAAGTTATAAATAAAAAAATAGTTATGTTTCTCTTTTGACTAATTTGATCCAAATTGCTTCTGGTACGACAAATAATTCTTCATGGATGTTGAAATTACTTTCAAGATGTTCACCTGGAAGAATCGTATATTCACGAAGAAGTCTCGTCAATAGCATTTTCATTTCGATCAATGCAAAACGCATACCGATACAATTTCGTGGACCTGCTCCAAATGCCATAAACGCCATTGGATGACGTTTGATTTTGTGACGTTCAGGTAGAAAAATATATGGATCATCAGGACCCCACAGTTCGCGATCATAATGAATCGAATAAAAATCAGCATGCACCGAAGTACCTATAAAAAATTGAAAAGTTATCATTTGTGTTATTTTTATAAGTAAAGCAGAAGGATGCACAGTAAATCATTCATTTTTTCTACTAATTAATATTAATTAATTTTACCAGTTGAATAAATAAAATAAGCAGTTATTTTGTTCATTTTTATTCATTTTACTAAACATACCAATCTGTGAAACATTAAAAACAAACTTACCTTTTTCAATGTTAATTCCTTGTACAACTGTATCTTCCATAGCACATCGTTGAAGACCAGAATTACCAATTGGATACATTCTTAATACTTCCAGAATAAACATATCCATATATGATAAGTGTGTAACAACATTATATTCAGGATGTTCTTTTATTTTTTCGTCACTAATATTATCATCGCTGTCTATTGGAAGTTGATCAATTTCATCTTGAAGTTTTTTAAGAACATCTGGATGTTTGGCTAGTACATATGTAGCATAAGCCAAAGCAGTTGCTGTTGTTTCATATCCTGCTGCCATGAAGAGAACAGTATTACTTACTACTTCGTCTTTCGATAGCCAATAGTTTGTTTTGGAATCATCTTCCGTCGTATCCTATAACAAAAGTCTGTTTATAAGAGCTCTTTGTTTCTCTGAAAACCTAAAACTCGACTCGTAGTATTCTTGATCTCAGGTCAAATAGAAAAATAAAAAACTTTTCAACAGAAGCGTTATTTCAAAAATTTGTAAAGCTAAATTTTAAGTTATGTGAATAAAAATAATACGTAAAAATTCAATCAATATATTTTAGATATTTATCAATGAAATGACAGGACGATACAATAATAATTGAGATGCTTTGTTTGCTAAGTGAATCAAATTATATAATGTAGTATTTCAAAAACTAAAATATCTTAAATCTAAACTACTTGAAGCAGAAAAATTGCATCATATAAAATATTGGAATTGCAGCTATTCAAAACTAATTAATGAGTACATTGTGTAGTATGAACGTTTGTCTCGATAATGAAATTTTACAGAATTTTCGGGAAGAATTTTTTATCATTTTAAAGATTATGTTTCAAACTTAAAAATTCAGATCAGATGGACAAGAAAAATGATAACCTCATTTATCAAACTATTCAATATAACTGTTGTTTTCTCGATTATATTGTCCTTTATTAGCCTACTAACAGATATGCTACTGATTCTTTCTTTGAACATTGTTTTATCATTGTATTAGATATTCATCATCAAAGAGTCACTTTAAAATTTGTAGTTTGAAGAAAATATAATATCTTAAATATCGTAGAAAATTATGCAATACTCTGAATGTTGCTCACCTGATTTGGTTCTTTGGTCATTGCTTGTAACATAAGTTGAAGAAGATCCTTTCTTGGTATAGGTGTTTCTTGTCGTTGTTCGACAATTGTATGTAGTCGATTCAGTAGCCACGCAAATGCTGATTCATCCAACTGTTTTGTTGATGATATTAATGGTAAAACTCTTGTATTAATATACTTTCGTGCAGTATTGTGAACGATATATAATCGACCAAGGATATCTCTAATTTCAGGTATTAGTTGAGTCATTTTGAATATAGAACTTTTCAGAACAGTACGAATACCAACCAATTCTTCTACTTTTTTAAAATAAATATGGTTTGGATTGTTTTGTAAATCAATATCAATTCCAAATGCACATCGAACTAAAATCATACCAGAAATAAAAAGAGTTAGAATTGTTTGTTATTATACATCATTCATAATCTCGAATCGAACACTACCGCATGTTGACTTCATTACTGATCTTTTACATAGTGAAAGCTCAAACTTTCTAAATATTTGATTTAGAATACCTTCTTAAAGTCCGTTTTTCAATTTACTTAGCAGATTAAAGTATCATGGACAGTCTTCGATTTTCTTTCAACAATCTCTCTGTTTATAGCCCTAGTCACAAACGAGATAGACTTTGAATATTTACTTTTAATAATGTTTGATTATATCGTAGATGAAACTTATTCTATATAATAGTGACAGTAAGATAGTGTAACTAGAGAATAAAATCTAAACTTAGCGTCAGATAAAAGAAGGATGTCAACAGCTTATACTTTATGTTTGAATAAAAAAGGAAAATCCCAACATTTTCTTACATATAATATCCATAGTTAGCCGTTTGTAATACAGATAAATATTGAATTCACCACCAATGTTTGAATGTTCGAGTAGTTTATCCATGAAATCGCTGATAGATTCATTGATAAGAGGACCCATTGCCCTGAGCTTCATTGCAGTGAATGACGGATTAATTACATGACGCTGACGACGCCACTTTGAACCAGTTGAGAAAGCAAGATTATGGCTTATATCATCTAACATAGTAATCATTCGAGTATGAAAAACAGAAAACTGTTTAATAAAGACTTCTTGAAGAAAACTAGGATCACTAACAACTAAAACAGGATGAGTTCCTTCATAGATTCCATAGATTTTGCCATATTGTTTTGTCCAAATTTCAAGTTGACGATGATACAATGGAGCATTCCATAATGTTTTGAAATGACCAAAGAAGAAGTTGAAGGGTGGAGTAGAAACACCTCGCTGCTTAAAATACTGGTGACGTTGTTGAACGAGAAAATAATAGTAAACCAACAAAGTTATAAATCCAAACAGTAGAATTAGAAATACAATCAACATATTTTATGCTTCTTATTTCACTACCTAGTTGATATTTGTTTTATATACTGAGTATACAGCAATATTTTTCGTGTATTAATATGTATAATTTATTGATCATAGAAGAAACAATTGAATGGTAAAATACAACTGATATTGAATGCATTCTATTTTAGTATCTTTTGTTTTTGTTTATTCTTATATTATTTCGATGTCCTTTTCGTTTGTTTCGACAGGATGCATCTGTATCTGACGTCAATCATTTATTATTAGAGGTAAGATATTTTCAAGTCTATTCTCTTTCTACATAAGAAAAAAAAATAATACGATTTGCAATCATACTTTATACGTTAATATTTTTCGTATGCTGACTCACTATCCTCCTGAGTATTTATTTATTCTTTGCAGTAACGCACTTGAGTATCTTTTTCTATTACTTATTTTGGTTTTACTCTATAATTGCTAGCTAATAGTACGTTTATATTTAGTAAATTTATTTTTTCAATGAACTTTCAAAACTTATTTGATAGTTAATTGAAGATTTTCATATCACTTTTCATTAGATAAATATAATATTATTATTTTTTGTGTTACACATTGTCGTCAATATTATTGTTCTTTCAATATAAACAGAAAGATAATAGCATTGAAAGTTTTTTTAAGAAGATACTTATTGAAGAGTATGTATAGAAAGAACATTAATGGATCAACAATACTGTATTTTTAGAATAAAAGTTCATTATAATCATCAAAAAAATCAGAACAATTAGTACTAGTTTTCTGAATAACTATTAAAATTAGATGAAGTAATAAACAATGAGTATTTGAGCAGAACATTTTTTAATATGGACGATAATTAGAATGTATTTTACTTGGAATTTGTTAGATCTATCGTTAACATAAACAACTTATAAGGTGTGGGTGA